GGGGGTCCTGGGTGGCTGGGGAGAGGGGATGGGGGTCTGGGCAGGGGCTCAGGGGGTCCTGGGGATCCTGCGGGGCTGGGGACGGGTCCTGGGGGAGGATGGCACTGACGTCCTGGTAGGCTGGGCAAGGCATGAAGGGGTCCTGGGAGTCCTGGGGGTCTGGTCAGGGGTTCAGGGGGATGGGACAGGGCCTCAGGGGGTCCTGGGGGGCCGGGCAGGGGCTCAGGGGTTCAAGGGGTCCAGGGGTCCCGGTCAGGGGGTCCTGGGGGTCTGGTCAGGGGTTCAGGGGGATGGGACAGGGCCTCAGGGGGTCCTGGGGGTCCTGGCTGAGCCCGGGTTTTGTCCCCAGAGGAGAGCGGGGCAGAGGAGGCGCGGGCTGAGGCGCAGCCGGCTGAGGAGAAGAAGGAGGTGAAGGTAAGGGGGGTGTGGGGAGGGGGTCTGGGGGCAAATGGGGCAGGATTCGGGTGCCCACGGGGCTGATCAATCCCCAGGAGCCCCGGGATGGCAGCACCGAGGAGGAGGCCAAGGAGAAACCTGGGGAGACCCCCAAGAAGGAGGAGGAGAAGGGGAAGGAGGTGGAGGGCGAGAAGGAGCCAGACAAGGGTGACAGTGACAGTGCCGGTGAGTGGGGACACTGTGGGGCTGAGGGAGACAATGTGGGGCTGGGGGGACCCTGAGCCCCCCACGGCCCTGCTGACACTGCCCCACCTGGCCCCAGGTGAGCCCGAGAAGGAGAAGGAGGTGAAGGAGGGGCAGGATGAGGCGCCCAAGGAGCCGCCGGAGCCCGAGGCCGAGCGCAAGGCCAAGGTGGAGCGGGACATCGGCGAGGGGAACCTGTCCACGGCCGCCGCCGCCGCCCTGGCCGCTGCTGCCGTCAAGGCCAAGGTGAGCCAGGGGCTCCGGGCTGGGCTTGGAGCACGGCGGGGACGCTCCAGGTGCGACCCCTGACCCCCCCTCGTTGTCCCCCGGCAGCACCTGGCGGCCGTGGAGGAGCGTAAAATCAAATCCTTGGTGGCTCTGCTGGTGGAGACGCAGATGAAGAAGCTGGAGATCAAACTGCGGCACTTCGAGGAGCTGGAAACCATCATGGACCGCGAGCGCGAGGCCGTGAGTGCCCGGGCCCTGGTGGCACCTGCTTGTCCCCACCCTCCGTGCCCTGGTGACCCGTGCCCTGTGTCCCTGTCCCTCGCAGCTGGAATACCAGCGGCAGCAGCTCCTGGCCGACCGCCAGGCGTTCCACATGGAGCAGCTGAAATACGCCGAGATGCGCGCCCGGCAGCAGCACTTCCAGCACCTGCAGCAGCAGCAGCAGCAGCAGCAGCCGCCGCTGCCCCCCGGGGCACAGCCCCTGCCCGCCGCCGCCGCCCCCCTGGCCCCCGCTGCCCACCCGCTGGCAGCGCAGCCCACCCCGGCCATGGTGGGCCCCGCCGAGCCCGTGGGGCAGCCCCTGCCCGGGGCCCCCCCGCCGCAGCCGCCGCCGCCCCCGGGCACAGCACCCGCGGCGCGTTGTCGTTGCGGTCCAGCACGAAGACGCGCACCGTGGCCGTGGAGCTG